AACCCGGGGACTGCCTGTACCAGAAAACTATAGGAAATAGTTACTTGTATTTAAGGGCTTATCTATATTGAGCAGTAATGCTGACTATTGGGTGTGTGATTTCTAAAGCACGCTAGCATGTGGTGCATTAATTGTTCATTTAGATCGGGGTAGAGAAGCTTTTTTGGGTGGGGATTGCTGATCCACAGAAAAATCAGTCAGGGGCCACACACTAGTGAGAAGCAAAACACAAAGAAACAAACAATAAATCCCAAACCACCACTCACATGTTTTCTGACATAGATGGAGAAAGACACTCCCCACATTTACCTTCCACACCAGAGCCTAGAGCCTAGGAGTCCCTGGCTAGTAGATTTTGTGTGCTCCACCCTGTTGTAGTACGGTGTGGATGCTGGAGCCCTGAACCTCAGAGGCCAGATCCAGGCAGCTCCTGCATTTGAGGTTCCCCACCCGTGATTTAGACCCTGCTGGAGTGCTCTAAAGGCTTAGTGTTCTTTAAACATAGTGCTGTTTGAACATTACAAGGAGACTATTCATTATAGTATATATTGCTGTAATGAATAATGTATAGAACTTGTATTATTCATGACAGTATATACAAAGAGAAAGCCCTGCAAAATCTTGATTTTTGGACATCTGTATGGAACCCATAATACTACAAATAAAACATGAAAAATAAAATTAATACATGCAGAAAACCTGCAGCCCTGATTATATTTTAACATAAAAAACCAACAAATAGTAGCCTTTTTATTCTAGAATCATACAGTATATAGCATAGAAAACAACAGGTTATTCCAAAAAGAAACTGGACATACATCAGAAGAGAGAAACTAATTAGTAGTTTAGACTTTAGCTATAGTGACATTGGTTGATTGCTGCTCATTGGCAACCTGGTTACATCTAACTGACTACTGATTTCTTAAATATTCCAGCATTGTACGGAGAGATTAGGTTATGCCATTTAATGTAGGATTTTAAAATGCCTTCATTTAACTTCTTTAAAAACTTTATTTACAATCAAGTGGGTTGTTTTGTTTTGTTTTGTTTTGCTCAAAGCCCAGCTGCAGGCTAGAGCACCTCTCAGAAATATCAGGAAGTACCCAAAGCCACAATCAGGAAGTACCCACAGCCACAATCAGAATTAAAGAGTTGATCTGAACCTTAGATCTTAGCTTTAAAGCTGTAAAGTAAACTGAATTCAGTTAAAGGGTAAAGGAAATGGAAATTACTTACATATGTTTTTTTAAGTTGCAAAATCAGTTTTGAAATGTTTTATTTGAAACTGCCATCAGTGCCATGCATGAGAATGGGCAATGTCTAGACTGAAGGCTTCTTTCGGAAGAAGCTTTTCCGGAAGATATCTCCCGAAAAAACTTCTTCCGAACGAGAGTGTCCAGACTGCCAGAGCACATAGAAAAAGCGATCTTCTTTTTTGAAAGATAACGTTCACACTGAATGGACGCTATCTCGCATTTAAGCTGTTGATTACTGTGGAAGGAGTGTCCACCAGGGCACCTGTGCTTTTTCCTCTTTCCTCTTCTTCTGAAAGAACTCCCTCTTCTCCGTCCACACACACCTTTTTCCAAAAGAGCTCTTTCAGAAAAAGGTTTCTTTCTCATACACAAGAAAAAATAAGAGAGAGAGAGAGAGAAAACTTCACTCAGATTACCTTATTGACTCTTTTAGCGACCCAGAAAGGGTCAAAATGAGGGGTTCAGAGTGCAGGAGGGGCTGCAAGTTGAAGCAGCAAGATGGATGCAGGAGAAGGGTGAGGACTCCAATTCAGAGGGCAAGCTATGGGGTAGGACTGGGAATGAGGTATTTGTTGTACAGAAGGGGGCTCCTGGCAAGGTCCCAGGAGTTTGGAGTATGGGAGGGGACTCAAGACAGTAGATTGGGATGGCAGTGCAGGAGGCTCAGTCAGGGCTGGGGCAGGAGGTTGGGGTGCAGAAACTTACCTGAAGCAGCTCCCCTTTGGTGGGGAGAAGCAGCTGGCTCAGTGCTGGTCTGGAGCTTCCCTCAGCACACCCAGAGATGTTGCTCCAACCTAGCAGGGGGAATGGCAGCGCATGGAGCAGAAAAAAGTAGGGGTTTAGAGCCTCCAGCACAGAGCCTCAAGCTAAGGGATCCTCACAAAAAGCTCTGCACTTTAGGCAGCCTGGAGATGTTTTTGTGGGGCTCCCCCTGAGCCTGGGGCTCTGAACGATAGTCCGTACATCTCCTTTCTTAATACAGCCCTGCCTGTAATGGAAATGGGCTCTGAGCATGGGCGCTCATGTTTCAGCCCTATGTGGGGGCATGGACTTCCAGCATGGAGACTTGCCACAGGATGGATCAAAGTAAGCAGGGGGCCAGCCCTCTGGCTGGAGGTTCCTCATCCCGATACAAGTATACAATAAATATATTATACAGGGATTTTTAAATACCAATATTAAGATTTTTGTCACATTTGGTGTTTTGTGTTAAATGATGATATTTTGAATATAGCAAAGGAAAAAATGCAGCAAAAAGAAATAGACAAAAATAATATTGTCTGTAAAGTTTCAAACTGTGTAATTGTTTGTTCCAAACTACTTATGTTATCTCTCTATATATTTTAGAGATTTGTGCATCTGTCTGTGAGTCAGTCTGTCTGTCAGAGAGTCTATCTGTTCAAGAACTCTACCTGAACAGTAAGAGCTCTGATCCAAACTTAAAGCAAGGTTGGGGTTTGGGTGTGCCAACAAAACAGGATGTGCCTGCAATCTGGCTGTTTTCCAGAACATGGAGAGGAACGGGGCTGATTGGAGGGACAGCTATACTGCAGAGTGACCACTGGGGGCAACAAGCAAGGGGGACAGCTATATTGCAGATTGACCCCAGGGATGCAGATGCACAAGGAATACAGTGACCAGCTGGGGCTTGGACTTGCTATCTTGCCAGCCACTGGCCCAGGTAAGTGGCTTCTCTTGCTCCAAACCTCACTCCTCAGCCCTCAGTCACATTGCCAGATGGGGTGGGGGCAAAGCCCTGCCAGTCTTTCCCATGACCCCCTGGAGCATCACTGAGGCCATTCAGCGCAGCCCCAGTCCCCCCTCCCACTGAGGAACAACAGTCCATGCTTGGACTTGCTATCTTGCCAGCCACTGGCCCAGGTAAGTGGCTTCTCTTGCTCCAAACCTCACTCCTCAGCCCTCAGTCACATTGCCAGATGGGGTGGGGGCAAAGCCCTGCCAGTCTTTCCCATGACCCCCTGGAGCATCACTGAGGCCATTCAGCGCAGCCCCAGTCCCCCCTCCCACTGAGGAACAACAGTCCAT